GCAAATGGCTCCTGCGTGTCAATTCCCTCACAACTACCCACACAACACGGTTTTACAATAGGAAGGATATTATAAAATCCCCATTCCCTCCCAATCAGCTGGAACTTCAGGAGGCAGATAATAGATGGACACGGGGCCCGTCAGAGGTGGTATTTACCAGTTCTCCAAACTACTCAAAATTTCCATTACCAGTTCTCCAGAACTGGTCAGAACCTGCTGAATACCACCTCTGAGTACTTACCCAAGAATCTATAACTTCAGGACCCTAGATATTAATAACTTCAAATTTTGATTACTGCAATTTATTCCATGGATGATCCTTAAAGATAGCACAGAAATTGTAGCTGGAATAGTGTGTGTGTGTGTGTGTGTGTGTGTGTACTCATATTTTAATATAGGGATACTCTGATACTTGCTCCACCTATCTGGTTTGTAGTGTGTTGATTAGGAATAAAATCTTCTTATTAGCAGTGTCCAATTTTCAGAGCTGTTCCAGAATAAATATACTTGTGTTCCATATTTTCTTGTTTTAAACAGCTACTTAAAACATGATTATTTATCCAAACATTTATGGGATTGCATCTGTGGCAGTATCAAACTGTCTTTGAAGAGAATTTTGTTTTTATTTAAATATATCCTATTAGTACACATATTTAATAGACATTTTACATGTGTTTTAATTGCCTTTGAGATGACAGATTACCTTATTATCTCTTGCTTTATCAGATTATTTTCTTGTTGCTTTTCTGTATTCTATTGTAGAATCCTTCATGAATAGGACATACATAATAGTGATAATAATGACAACAACAACTAGAACAATAAAATATAATTATACCAGCTGAATAACTGAGACATCTTAGACACATTAATTATTTTGCAATTTGATCAAGAACTGACACCAAACATGTTGTATTAGTGAATGACTTTCTTGTGAAGCAAGAGTAGAGGAAGTATTGTTGAAATTTCAGTTCTGGAACACAAGTCCTAGAACTTGGAGCCAGGCAGCTTTTATTGGCAGCCATTTGTGTCTTGTCTTCTTGGCTCTCCTTTCTCTCAGTTGGGCTTAGTGTTCCATGTTGCCATAGCATTCTTTGATCTGTGAGAACAAGCAGCAAAAACAAATGCAGGGTGAAATTAGGACATGAACAATTGGCATTGTAGCAGCTAGATGCTTATATCTGTGCTCTCTAGGGGTAACTGGGGGAGTGCCAGTTGATCTATAAACAGTGTATGAAATGGCAACATGGTCATGGCAAGAAGATATTGTTGTATTGTAACTTATATTGTGAGCTTTAGACTGCTGAAAATAGTGACTGTGCAGAAGTCCTCTTAGCTGTATTACCTCTGGCTTCAAAAATATGATCTCTTTTGCTGCTATTTGTGACAGGAATGCCACACAGCCTCGCCCATATATTCTATGGATTACTCCAAGTTAAAAGGACAAATAGAGGCATGCATTAACCAAATCATTACCAAAATGAAGGGGAATCTTTAAAACCCATGATAAAAAAGTTATTATGACTCTGTCTTTCCAACTTTGGATAATAAGTTTAATATATATTGTCACATAAATCGAGTATGAATAGAGTAAGGTTGGAGGAATCCTTCTCCCCAGACAATCCCATAGTTGATTTCCTCTTTCTTCTCATCATGCTCATTCAGCTTCAACTCCCCACCCTGGGTCTTCTGATGAGACATTTGAAAGGATGTTTTACTGCTGTCTGCTTTAATACAAGTAATGGTCCCTGCATAATGCATATTCCTGACAAAATACAGTCCTGGATGGTACAAAGAACTATATTATATTCAATAAAATAGGGGCATAGTTCTCCTTCAGCCTTTGTGGAAACAAGGAGCATGAGATAAGATATGGAGCTGTAAGAAAGATGACATTAACATGCATGTATTTCAGATTGGAACCAACCAATACCTTAGCCCATATGCAGGATTTAAGAATATTTTTTTTCCTTTTGTTTCTTTTTTCGTTTCTGCTATAATTTTGTACCAGTGAGGTTAAAACCAATTTCGTTGTATTTAACTACAATGACAATAAAGATTATACTTACTATTCTTACTTAAAGAAAATCTTTGGTTACAGTACTCAGATGTTACAAAATATACATACTAATTTTCAAACTAATTGCTAAAATTAATTCCATGCATGTAACCATTAGCATAATGTCAGTATATTTTAACAGTGTCATTACAGAGTTGAAGTTTTGTTAAGTACAAACAAATACATTTTAACATTATATGATATGCTTTTTTCACTGCAATATACCTAGCTTTATACCTAGCTTTCATCTCCAATATGGCATCCTCCTGGCTGGGAATTCTGGCCCTGGAGATCCAACATATCTAAGAAATGCCAAGTATAGAAATCTGCCTTTAAGGGTAATAGATAAAATACTCATTGTGGTACTTGAGAACAAGGTACTCAAAAATAAATGGTCAATATGGCAAGTTTTTCATGTAAAATAACTGATGGATTATTAACTGATATTTGAATTTGTTCAAGCATAAACCAGAAGGCTGTTTTAAATTCACAAATTGAGAATGAACCATATTCTTTAGGGCTGCATTTATATTTATCTGGTTCAATTCATGCAGATTCAGTCAACTCTGGGACTTGCTCAGCTATACTCTCCTCTTTTTTTATTTCTAGAGAAAGAGGAGAGAGATGACAGAAGGAATATATAAAGAATTCCCACTGAGATTCATTCCTATAAATTATGTATTATGTAGAGTCTATTCTACTGATTCTATCTGATCCCCAATTCGCAACTCCTTATTTTTGCTTCTATAAATAACCACAGACAGATATTCAGTTATAGAAGAGTGAAGACAGAACTAGAAACCTTTCCCATTTACTAACTTCTGATAGAGATTTTTTCTTCTTTTTCTTTTTGTCCTCCTTTTGTATTGTGATGTCCAGAGGGCTGTATCAGTCTGGGACTACAAGCACTGCTGCATTGGTGATAAGAAAAGAATAGGGAAATAACTCCTCTGTGAATTCTTAAAATGCCATATTCCATTTCCACATGCGCACAAAAGAAATCCCTCATGTTGTTTTAAATTTCAGTGTCATACTTGGGTCATTTCCTACCCTCATGAATAATCTACCTTTTTGTTACTTTTTTCCCCACTAGATCCCAATACTTTGGCTGGAAGAAATGTACCAGATCATGCTGTTATAGGAGGGATAGTAGCTGTTGTTGTCTTTGTCACATTATGCTCTATAATTCTTCTTGGTCGATATCTGGCAAGACATAAAGGTAGGATGGATTTAATGAAACTGAAGCTAAATTTTATTGTCTTTTCTTGGTTCCATGAAAACTCAGGTCTGATAAAGAAGCATTATAATTGTTTGTTTGTGGAAAGGTTCCTTGTTTTGATCCTTGTGGTGTCTGCAAAACCCATTAATTTTACAGATGGCTTATTTGTGGCAAAATAATATCTAGTAATTTGTCCAAGGTCATGCTGGAAGTCAGTGACTCAGAGGATCTGACAAGTGAAATGGCAGTAGAGATATTGGTTTGTGCAATGCAACAGACTTTCGTGTTTGTATAGTTACTTGTTTTCTTTAAGGAAGTTTATTAGATCAATCTTGTTTATAAAGTATATGAACATCCAAACACCCACTAACAATCATAAATTGGGGTCCTGAAATATGAGTTAAAAAACTCATAATGAGAAAAATACTGATTATTAAATTCCAACATCATTACACTTTTTAATCTTTCCAGAAAAATATACTATCATTCAGAGATATGTGAAAATGAATGAGTGAACTTGGTCAGTTCAGTTGATGGCTGGTTTAGTCAATTCTGACCATCAAGACAGTTCACTTAACTTTTATTTAGGTTGATCAAAGGATGCAATTTTTTGTAGTTTTATCTAAAAGTTAATTTACATCTTTTGATTTTTTTTCTCTCATTTAGATATTTAGGTTTTTCTTTTTATAACCATGGACAGAATGTCTCATACAAAATTCAACTAAACAGCTTTCTATTGCACTTTTTGTATGATTATATAATAGATCTAGATCTCAATACTTACAATATGGTTTGAGGCTATTAATATTGTATCCCATTAATAGCAACTTAAGAGTAAATTCATTTGAATACTGGATAGTGATTTCCTTCTGTTATAGAACTGCATTATGGATTTTTAGTGTATTTTATCTAACATTTTTAATGGAAGAATATAACAAAGGCAACATTGCTTTTCTTTCATGATAGTATTCCATTTAAATCAGTGAGACTTCTTTACAAGGGCATAAATTCAATTGGAAAACTTGAATGCAGCTTTTAATTCTTAATAAGCAAGTCAGACAAGTTTATAAATAACTTTTCACTTTTAAACAGCTAGCCTGAAATAAGAATCTCTTCCTTTTAATGGGTGGGAAGATGACAATTCCCTTAATTGCTGCAATGGTTCAAGAACAAAATGTTATTATTATTATTTTTAGTTTGATTCTCTGCTTGTGAGATCATCATAAGGAATATCTTTGTCTTGGAAAAACTAATTTAGCTTAATATAGTTATACCAGCTTTCTTCAAGATGATGCCAAGTAGAAGTTTTTTCACTACAATTTCTATTATCCACAACTAAATGGGAATATTAGCTGCAGAATGATGAAAATTAATGTATACATTAATATCTCATCTGCTGTACGCAGCAGATTAGAGAAAGCTTTTTCAGAAAATATAATTCATCTTTTTTTCAAGGTTACTATTATTTATTTTTAACCTTCCCAAATTATACTATGTCTGTCATAAATACTAAAGCATTATTAGCACTTTATTCACTTCTCAAAGGTGGTTCACTGCTATAATATAAAAGTAGCCATGGCAAAGGCTGGTAAACAGGCATATAGATTTGTGAGTATAGTTTAAAGAGATCAAACATGATATAAAATGTCTACTCCACATTCGGCTTCATGGATTTCGCTAAATCATAGTGTGATTCTTTTGTTTTTACCACAGTGTGTCTAGGTGTAGTCAGTCAGCCTCATCCAAAAGCTGTGATATGTGTTCTCAAAGACTCTAATTACAATAAGATATATAGGGAGAAAGCAATTGTGATTACAATGTCTTTTTTCTTCATTATTTAAATAATGATATATGATTTTTACTTTATAGGTGAATATATTTGCTATGTATTTCTCCATGTCTAATTTCATCAGATATTAAGACTGTATTGGCATGTACAGTATGCATTAAATATCAGCTTGCAAAACTGAAATATATTTAACTTAATTTCAAGTCTTTTTTCAAGAAACTTCCAATGCCTATTAAATATGTTATCAGATAGATATTTCTTTCTATCTGCATTGTAGGTAGAAATATTCATGTCTTTAGAATAAATATCTATTAAAATATTCCTGATTTTTTTTGAAGTTTAGAATATTACTGAAGCTTTTGGCCTTTCCCATAAATTGAAGCTGACTTGTTTCAAACATCAATAAAAATAAATATGTAACTATTGTGCATGTATATGATAAACTGCCAATAAATCCACATAATAGAGATAGTTCTGCACAACAGAACAAGAGAGGTTACAGCAAGAGTGCAGGCAAATTTATCAATATACATATTTATCTAAAACATTTCCAATGAAATTGGCACTAAGAATAGGGCTAAAGTATAGCTGTTTTTAAAATGCATTAATCATTATGTGCAATTAACATTTTTAGTTGAAGGAATAAAAAGGCAAAAGTTCTAATTTTGAAATTGCAGGACAAGCTGATTGATTGATTTAAGGAGATGAAGAAATGTTTCATGTTTTGTATCACAATGCATCCAAGACTAATTAAGGCCTTTCTCCCAAAGCTTCTTGTTAATGAGTTTTTGTCAGCTTATAGTACAACAGACCTTTTCTGTGCAATTGATAGGTACTTATCAAGATAGCAGGACTGTAAAATTACTACTACTTTAACAATTACAAAAGCCATGCATACTATTCAGATTCATGATAGAAAGGGTCATTACTGAATATTAGAAAAATTCATGGTGGAATGCTATATAGACTTAAACCTGGTTCACATCCAGACCAATTAATTTTCTGTTAGAAAATCCCCATCTCTAAAGCAATATCAAAATTTCCTGTATCTCTAACAATTGTCTTTTAATCACACTGTTTCCTACAGGAACATATTTAACAAATGAAGCTAAGGGAGCTGAAGATGCACCTGATGCGGATACAGCCATTATCAATGCAGAAGGCAGCCAAGTTAATGCAGAAGAGAAGAAAGAATATTTCATATAGATGCAGACTTAGATTCTTTGAACACCACTACTCACAAGGCTGACTCTTGGAGAAAACTGGCTCTCATCTTTCTGAATTAATTTATCATGTCTCGTTTCTACCCTTGTTAAAGTGCATAATTGCTCTCAGTTGCCAGTTTGTACCAACAATCAGCCATGAACATATTTTTTTCTTTAATTATGATACCATTCATAATGCAGGACATTTCTTATTGCCTAATCATCATATACATTGCTCTTTTAACATACAGTGCTTGAATATACAGCCTTAACAAATTTAATCATCATCTGTTCACATTTGGTTCTTCTACATTTTAAAGAAAGTGTTCCTTTTCTTTTAATATGGTCCTTACCTATATTGCATCAGACCATTTTCATAGCAAATGTTCTTAGGTGAGGACCTAAATGTACTTACATAAACCATTACAAGTAAGATTAGAGGTTTACAAAGAATGTTTTATATATCGTCTGTAATTCAAAATCAGCCGAGCATTGAAACATTATGCCCTAAGAAACACTAATGAAATCATTCCACTATAATTTCTTGTGTGTTTGCAAATGACAGCAAAGGAGTATGTTCAGAACTTTTATTTAATGAAATACTGGTATTAAAAGCAACTTCTGGGTGGTAATCAACACCATACACTCCTGTCTACACAGAATCCAAGGTGGTGGATTATGTAGCTCCATTTTGAAAATGGTTGTCCAGCTCTTTTACTGCTCCTAGAATCGTAAAGACTTCCATATATATTTCTATAATTTGTATTCCTTTTAATTTATTTGCTTCATGTGGGTCTATCTGCCTACTCAAATTGAACATGTTCATGGGGCAAAACTGCAAGGCATTTTAATATCTGTATATAGTGCATATAATAAATCCAATTAAACATTATTTGATACATATTTAACTTTTGGGGCTGTAGGTAAGTCAGTCACAAGTAAGCATTTTCTAATGTCCATTATATCCCTTTAGATATAACTTAAATTAATATTCTGAGTAGATAACATGTATTAGTATTTTTGTCTGTATGTCCTAGCACTGTTCAGCAACAAATTTTTCTAGTTCCAGTTAATTTCTCTTTGTTATACAATGGAAGCACAATGTTATATGGAAAGGTAGTTTTAAGCTAACAACCAGTGCACAGCCTCAGGTTTTGTCTTACAACCACATTAATGATTAAATATTAAGTTACTAAAAAATTCAATATATAATTTGGCAGTTCCAGAGCTGCTTATCAATGTTGGATTTGCCAAACCCCAAACAGAAAATGTTACAACAGCTCTCTATGTTTTGTGTATATGGTAAATGACTAATCCTTTATATTAAATTTCTGTCTATGCATTTTGTGAGGTACAAACCTATGTCACGGTGAATGATCAAGAATATATGCCATGCTTTTAGCTCCACGGTAAAGATCTCTCTTTGATATTATGTTGAATGTGGGGCAAAAGGACAGATTAGAATAATAACATTTTTTTAAAAAAGGCTAATCCAAATAAGATATTCCTCTTCCAGACCAAAAAAGGCAACAACAAATAAATAAAAATCAATGAAAATAACCAGATAAGCTCTTATTTCCTGGTTCCATGTAAACATAATTGACTAAAATTGTAGAAATTCTTATTTATCTCCTAAGCACTGTAAACTTTTTTTAAAAAATAAGATAAAAAAGAGGAATACATTTCTATATAGAAACTATTACTGGTGAAGTCTAAAAGCATAATGGCCTATTGTAAAGAATTAAGTCCTGGGGTTTATTTTTTGTGTGGGGAATGGAAGGAGGGTGGGTAACATTTGAATATGGCATCATGTGTCACAGTCAATGGAAATCAAAGGTATTGTGTCAGATTATTTATCCGAAGGCTATACACCTTTTAAGGACAATAGTAGTTTTTAAATTGTTTTTGTTAGAAGGGGAAAATTACTTTGTTAATTTCAATGGGGAAAAAAAGAGTGAGCGAGCGAGAGAGAGACCATCAATCAAGCAGCACTTTTTCAAAGTATACAGAACATAAATAATATGATGTGGTTGAGTGTTAACATAATAAATCATATACAGTATGATATTTTAAAGAAATACGTCTGCATTGATGTGATTGCATGCTTGTTTTTTACAGTTCATTCAAAATCTGTGGAAAAAATGCAATAATATGATAATCTAGTATGGTAATTTGAGAGAATCAGGTAGAAGTACTAGACACATTGAAGCTAGTATAGGTTTATAACATAGTCATGTTTTCAAAAACTGATTTATAGAACTAAGGTAAAGGCCAGCAATGCACTTAAACATGTGTTGAGGTGCCTTGCTGCATTAGGATTATGTTTAGTAAAATTATATTCCTACTGGTGTTATATTTACACATTCATATGTTTTCTCAATTCTATTATGTTTAAATTATATAGAAATACTTTACCTTCTTATTCATCCCTATGAAGTAAGATTTCTTTAGACATCTTTCAATGTAAGCATTTCAAAATGTTTAGTCACTATAGGATACAGAAAACACTGGAATTCTGCAACAGAGATAGGAATTAGACTGTTAAGTTTTGCTTGTAGTAGATTAAAAAAAATCTTTCCTTGCACATTGAGATGTACAGCAGGCTGAAAGGCAATGAGAAAGTCCACCAGAATGAAAAATCACTGTCTATCCTCACTTTCTAGCACCTAGTTAAACCAGATGCTCTCAGTCTTCTATTTGAGAGCAAAGGAAACTTTTGGAACAGAATACAAAAATATACTTTATTTAAAATGATACATTCCATAAATAAGCAAACTTTAATTAAATGATTTTGGCCCTTAATATTTCTCCACTTTTCTCTGTTTTAATGTATTCAGTCCCATTTAGCTAAAATAGCAATATTATATCAGATTATTTTCAAAAATAAAGTTGACACTTTTTCTTACCATTGTTTTATTTTACAGCATGAAACCCAACTGAGTTTACTTATCCCATGTAAAAACTCTTATATTTGGAGCTATAATTATAGTAATGCTGCCTCATTTTAATCAGTGTCCTTCAATTGTGTTGATTTTGCACTAGCACTTGAGCAGATCCCAAATAATTCTGCTTCCTATTTCAGTGCCTTTTCTACCAGTACAGTTCAGAAAAACATGGGAAAAGCCAGGTAGTAAAAGGACATGTAGATTCCATGTTGGCCACGGTATTTGCTCTTAGGTTTTCTCTTAGGTACTTGAGGTACTAAAGCTTCAATATAAACCTTTGTTTTCTTAACCAATTCCCTGGTTGCTGCATAGCAGAGTCATGTCAGGGTGATGGAAGCTGTAGACCAATCTATCTGGAAGACTCTACCAGTTAGAAGATGGCCTTTTCCAAACTGAATGTTCAGTGTAATAGGATGAATAAGAGGGACATATACATTTACAAGCTTTACCCATCCAGGGAGAAATGCTACTATTTATAGGAATAGTAATGGAAGGTGATTATATCATTCTAAATACACTTTGGGAACTCCAAGTTTAGATTACTATATTAGAATAAGATGCTAAAATTTTATGATAATCTAATTGCCTGCTTTATCATAGAAGACAGGTATAAATAATCATGATCTGAAGACAGCAACTAATGAAATTTGAACCAAGATAGTTGTCACTGAGAATGTATTTTTGTCATCAATCCAGAACATCAAGTTGTTACTGATTACTATTGTTCTCTTTTGCAATCATAATTCTTTAAAACAAATAAAAGTAGAAGATGGCATCTCAGAATATATGGGTCCGTTATCTTTCATTCTGGAATGCCATTTGCAAATTTAATAGTATCTAACCTGAACCCTAACCATTTACCTGTTTTTCAGAGGGAAATCATCTTACACTGAAATTTCCTGTTATTAAAACCAAATGTGGAAAAATTATATTACCAATTATTCCAGTGAATTGGACATCTTGAGTTAATTATTCCCAATGTAGGCAACCTATTTGTGATGAATCTCTCAGTGCAAAGAAATAATGGGAGCTTATATAATGTTTTATTGTAAAAGCATTGCTTACTATGTATTCATACATACATTAGGCATTTTGATCATCACATACGTTACATGTGCTTCCATGTAACATTGCAGTTACTATGTAATTTAGTGCCACTTATTATAAAGTGTTACCAAGAGGAATATAAAACTCTTGCATTTATTATTCCATTGAATAATGGCAATTCTAATCAACTGAAAACAAAACATGCAATTACAAAGAATTATCATGGTCACACATGTTTTCTCCAAAATGTTCTTAAATCTTATCTTCTTAATCATTATAATGATTTATAATAAATGTGAACACATATAATAATAAATTAGCTACTAAGAAATTATGTGACTAAGCTTGAAATAGACATTATCCAAGTAATGCTTTGAATTAAGTGGCACAAAGTACATGCTAAAAACTATGCAAAAATATAGGTGACTACAGTGTACTTACATGTAAGTATCTTATGCTTTCTCTGTATGGATATTGGAAACCCATGTATTTATAATATGAATTTTGATTATTTTATAAGGTGGAAGATGAAATCTTGCAGTTACAATCATTAATTATTACAATACATGAAAAACTGTCATCTTTATGTATATTCCCCAATTCTTTAATTTACTATGAGTTATTTTTAAAACCTAAGCATCAATCCATTTGGTCTATTTTCTAATTTGGGTATCATTGGGTTCCTTTCAAATACCTTTTGAGCAAATACCTCTACCTGCTAATACATTTTCTGCCAGAAAGGTCTCAGAACTGCTTAGAAATCTATATCTAACCCAAACCTGGCAGTTTGTTCTTTTTGTCTTCCTTGAGGGAACCTTGCATTCCTAGATGCTGAAATGTTGCCATTTGCTCTAGTATTTTTACTGTGAGCAGTGGAAAGACAGCCAAAGAAATATCCTGAACCCTATTTCACCGAATATCTCACCTGGAATTTCTGCTGTTTTTCCCAATAACCCCAGATAATCTTACATAGTGAGTACAAAATGCTTCCATCAAACAGCAGAGAATGCCTTTTCTCATTGTTATTTTTCCCCACAGATGTAAATTTATATAATATTGATCCTTTTAATTTCATCATTTTTTCTAACATGAGCTTCCAAAAGCATTTAAAGTAGTGAGATAACAAAAAAAAAATCACAGAGATAAATATTGTGAAAATGAACCTCACAAAGCTTCCAAACTTCAGCCATAGTTGTCCTTCTCTGAAGCACTATCATTACTGCCCAAAGCACTGAATCACTGAATCTATTTTCTGTTGGTCATTTGTAATACATTCCTAAAATAAATCTGAGGTTTAAATTTATTATTATTACTATTAATAATGATAGTAGTTTTTTAATTTGTTTTAAACTGTACTTTTGGCATCTTGAGATTCTTTAATCATTTGAAGATGTTGACTTTGTAGACATCAGGCTGCAGTAAGTGTATATGTATCTTCTATGCTTGTATGACATAATGACTAGGCTATAGTTTGTATAATGGAGATTTCTTACTGACTTACATGCTGAGGATCCCATATTGGGTTATCCAGGTATCGTAATCTTGGCATGAATCATTTGATGGCACTGATGCACTTTGCGTCTCCAGATTGCTCAAGAGGATTGCATTGAATCTCCTCACTTTTCACAGTTAAGCCAACTGAGGTAATGCATTGTGCCATTGTCTTAAAAAAATATTAATGTTATATTTGTTAAAACAATATCTTGTATACATAGTTCAACATATAATTTATTTGATTAAAATTATTTTATTTTCAGATAAGAGCTACTCAGCTAACAGCATTATGAAGCATTGCAAATTATGAATAAGCTGCTTTAAGGGTCAACACTCAAAGCTTAGGCTGCTATCTGCTAGTTTCCTCATTCTGATAATTACCTAATAATGGTAATGGAAGCTACTTCCAACAAAGATTATTCTAAATAAATAGCTTTTTATTTTTAAGGTTAATGGAATATTTTCTGCTGTAAGGAATTCTAGACAGGCAAGCAATTGCCCCACTGCCTTGTGGAGCTCTGAAAAATTAGGAAAAAGTAAAAAAAAATAATCTTGTCTAGCAAATCACCTGCTTTTGGTTAATTCTAAACCAGGTACCAACCACAAGCTGTGTTACCCTAAATATGACTACACTAAAAAAAAATGCTATAACTGGATGGTTTCAAATATTTCAAATATCATTAAGTTTCCTTTGTCAATTCCCTTTACAATGTTTCACTTAAGGAGCCAGTTTAGCAAAATGTGTAGCTTTTCTGTCTCTTACAACATTTATAACCCATCTCCATGTATGCAAACGACAAGTCTTCTATAGTTACATGCACTCAATTCATTGCTAAGTCAGACTAAACCTTGTTTGACTCTCTTCATTATACATATACCAAGTCCTGCATGAAAGTAGATAGTATAGATATATTCCTCAGACTAAGAATACATTATTAGAGCCACAGGTTCAGTTTTTGCTGCAGATATAATGTAAATCTTCCTAATGGCCAATTTTATCTTATTTATTATCCTATAGGAAAGAGGTAATTAGCAGCTGGATGCACAAATGCTTGGGCAAGCTAAGTGGAAAAAAGAAAGCTGAAAGGACATCAAAATGTTAAGTATGCTCAGTATGAAGTACATATCAATTATTCTCAAGAGATTTGCAGTCCAATCTGCATTTGAACATGCAAACCCATCCCCAAGTAATCAGTTTTTGTGCACCAATTCATTACTATAGTGTGCTTCATTTTGTACAGCATTTTCAGGACTCCAAAATGCGTATAAATGTTTTGGGAAAGGTAGGAATTATAATTCATAGGCATCTGGAAGAAAAACAGGGTAGCAAAGAAACTCCAGAGAAATAAAGTAGTTTTCCGTATTTTAGAATAGATAAAATATGTAGTCATAATTATTCAATTGTTTACTTTAAAAATATCCCATAATTATTGGTACTGATGCTACAAAAGTCACTTGTCAAAACTATTTCTATCTCAAGGCTGTGATAGGTAACAATTGTTACATATGCATTTTGAGCATTATTTAGTTTTCAAAAATTATATGTGAAAATACACAGAAGACAGCAAGAAAGACAAATTTTCTAATCCAATGTGCAGAGATTCGTGCAATAAACATATCTCCATATAATTTGCTTGCAAAGTATGCTCAAGAACCTGCATGAAAGAAGAGAATTCCTTATTGATACCACTGGTAGTTCTGGCCTCAATCCTTTAAGTTAGCTGAAGCCAACCTGGCAAATTCCGGTTGAATTTATTATAACACAGCTATAGAAACTTTTCAGATAAATAATTTTTACCTTTCTTTTTTTAGAATGTAGACAAACTGTCCAATTAATAGGCATTTTCATGAGGATCCAGAAATCAACTTTTTCCAAAAATATTTTATTTTACAATCATTTACTAATCACAAATGCACTATACATTAATATTTCTTTATAGTTTTTAACCTGAAAGGGTGTCTTAATTAGAAAAAAATATTTATAAAAGAATGATGCATCAAGAAGTAAAATATAGTATTTTTTTATTCTAGAAACATAGATAATCAAATTATACACTTTCTGTAAGCATCTGATTAATTTAGCAATAATATGTATATACTTTAATTATATTTTATACATTTTCTGCATTTCCATACCATAAAGTGCATGCATATATATACAGACAGGCCAAAGGGCTGCTTTCTTTTGAGACAATTTGTACAAATTCAGCAGATCCTCATTTTCTATAACCAGCCTTACAATTTTATAGGTGAGAAAGCAGCACTATTAAAACAACAACTCTATGCACTATATAGTTTCCCAGCATTTTCAATTCAAAATGCACTTTATAGTTTCACCAAAAGTTGGGATGTTCAAAGTCTTTTGCAATTATCTCTTCCTTCTTTCTTTCCTACTTCTTTCAATCTCTTCTTCTTAAAAAAACCCAAAACAAATCTGAAAAAAGTGTTTTATGAGTAAATAGGGTGGTGCTCATGAATTCCAATTGTCCCACTGAAATAGGTCCACAATTGCCAAGCTATAAAGTATTCCCCATTCATTTTATTTTTAGGCTTTCAACTTTGGGGGATCCACAAGTTTTCATTGTTATAACACATAAAATATTTTCTGTCCTATCTGGTACAGGACTGCTAGACCAACTCTTTCCCCAGGTTGGTAGCTAACCGAAAAGTGACTTCAGTGGCCTAAGAACTACAGTGTAACTGACATGCAATTTCAGCTATGTTTTGGACACTATATCACTTAATTCCATACAGAGGAATTAAGAATTCACTGACAATGGAAGCACAGTTTCTCATTATTTCATAATTTTTACTGAACAAAATGCATATTGTAATGTTAAGTACATGACACTTGCATGTTGCTGTGCCTATATACTTTCAGAGTTTTCAGTGTGTACTTTGTGGCGCTTAAAATGTCGTACAATTTTTATCAACATTCTACAGGGTTCCCATTTGCACTTCATATTTCAGTAAAGTCGTCAGAGAATTGTCTGAATATTATTAAAATGAATAAAATTTCAATTTTAGTTATCTGTTGGACATTACTGAAGTGTCTATTCATTTAATACATTTTGGAATTCTTGACTTTAATATGGAATATTATCAGAACGCATATTGGCAAATGTGAGGAACACAAAATGTCTTGAATAAATATTAGCAAATATTAGAAAGATTGAACCTTTCCCAATAAAAATGTTTCAGGCATCTCTAATGAAGAAGTACTATGAAATGGCTTGTCCAATATACTTAACTAAGAGCCTTCTTGCATGTATTGAAATATCAATTGGATAATAATGCAAGAAGTGCAGGTCTGCCAAAATGGAGACTAAAAACAAAGATGATCCATCCACCCCCTCATCCATCCATCAGGAAGCAGATCAGGCCACAAAAAGTATGTCGTCTAGAGTTGCCTATTTCAGGTTTACGTAAGCAACTTCTGTTTTAATACAGAAGATTTTGTAGCTCTGCCAGCTCAACCAAGAGCAGGTGAAATATCACAGTTCTGGCCATGAATATATCTCATTCATATTAGTATATACTTTAAATTATAAATATGAAGCATGCAATAATTATAGCTTAACCTCAGAAGTGGAATATCCCAAGAATTCTGCCATAGACATTGGATAAATTTGATAGAATACTCTCTCTATCTATATCTATCTATCTATCTATCTATCTATCTATCTATCTATCTATCTATCTATCTATATTGTTAATTAGACTTATATACCGCTTCATATATATATATATCAAGGGATCACTAAACAAGAGGGATGTTGAGAAAACGGATGGATACATGCACACAGGCAAACTATGGTAATTTTAATTCCCTTCCAATATATTGAGAAAGGACCAAATAAAAGCTCCCTCTACAGCTTTGGATCTAAACTTAACCAGCACTAGAACTCTGAAACTGGAAGATATAGTATTTCATCAACAATATGTTAAATTAGAATACCAATCAGCTTATCAAAACAATATCAACAAATACAAAAACTGTGTAAAAGGCAATTGGGATTTATATACAGTATGTGCCCCATACAGCAGGTGTCCCCAACCACCAGTCCATAGACTGACTGGCAGCGGTCCACCGTATGCCAGCAATTGGGTTACACAAACAAGTGAAGTTTCATCTGCGAGATGCAGGCAGCATGCAAAACCATGTACCTTCGGTCTGCGGAAAAATCTCCACTGAACCGGTTCCTGGTGCACAAAAGGTTGGGGGCCACTGCCATTTTAAATAATATTCTAAATAATATTTATTATATTGAGTGTGTATTATTAAATCTATGTTTTGCTTCCTTCAAAAAGAAAAAAAAGTGTGAAAATGGGGAATAGGAATGTGTTGTATGCATTTTTTGGTGTCTCTGAGAATACATTATGCTATAACTGCCATAATTACTTCAAACAGTAATCATGGCAGCAGTGTGTGTGTGTGTGTGTGTGTGTGTGTGTGTNACATTTTGTTCTTTCTCTTAGCTCCAATGGTTCTGAATTACAGCATGTGGACATTAAAAGTATCATTTTGACATAAGGCAGTGTTGTAGCCTGTCATCCGCTGACCTCAGAGTCAACAGCTCCCAGGTCTGGAGGTGGTTGTGGAAGAAGTAAAGAAACAGCTGGGTCCAGTGCCTGATGTGTGGTTGCACAGAAGGCCGAGAAGGGCAGAGCAGTGGAAAGCTGTGGGCCAATCATGGGGAAGGAAGAGCCACTGCTGCTAATGAGGCCCCACCTTAGCTCTGGGAATAAAAGGCAGGGGCCAGAGATGAATAGGTGTGGCAGACAACTATTCATCTTCTGGCCGGTCGGACTTGTTAGCCTGCAAGATAAGCTTTTTGCCAGGACTACGGCATTCCTAATAAAGGAATCTTTTGAGTTCGCATCAAAGGGTTTGTCATGTTTTGGAAGCTCGGTCAGAACAGGCAGCTACTATCTATGTAACAGTAAAAAAAAAGGTGTTGAGGTGACTATGATTGGTTAAGGTAAATAATGGCGTACACCTAGAAGAGTTATATATTTATCCAGCTGGCATTATGGGCATCCAAAAGTCAAGCTATAACATTTTAGCATGCAAAATTGAGTCCAAATCAATATGTTTATAAAAGGTAAATATAGGTTTGAGAAACGGAAAATTTAGAGTTACAATTCTATATGGAAGGAAAATTTCTACTTTAAATGAAGGAAAATTGGAAGATTAAGGAAAATAATATGTTTCTCTTGAATATGCCCAAAGAAATAGTGGAGCAAAGTACAGGAGAATATTTTCTCAACCAAATTCAGGTAGAACTCTTGGGAATGCAAAGGAATTGGGATTTTGGCTAGACTTGCCAAGTGGAAAACAATAGGAACAAACCAACAATGGGAAACATTTTGTGGGCTAATTAGTACCATTTCTTGAATCAGAAATGGTTTGTCTGGTCCAAATCCATCCATCCATCCACCTTAGCTCTGGGAATAAAAGGCAGGGGCCAGAGATGAATAGGTGTGGCAGACCTTCCTTCCTTCCTTCCTTCCTTCCTTCCTTCCTTCCTTCCTTCCTTCCTTCCTCTCCCACAAGTGCCCAGTCCTTTAAACTAATCTGGAATTCTTTAGAGTTGCTATGATTTTTTTGATCATCAGCTTGAAATGTTCCTACACCAGAAAATGAACTTAAATTTTTTTTACTGTAGCCACATACCTCAATGTACTTAATGTAATGTACCTCAATGTACTTAATGATAGAAGTCACCTATTTCTGCTGGAAACCAAGATTATCTTGAGTTTTTCTAAATAGGTTTTTTTAGATGGAAATATGCTTGGAAACAAAACATTAACAATAAGTATTGTTGTTATTAATATATAGGCATACCCATATAATGACAGAGCACAGCATTGGCTTTGATCCCATATATATATAATCAGCTAACAAGTGTTGATCCCTTGCATTTCATGTTTCTTTCATACGGGCATGATAATGAAGAAGTTTGTTTCTGAAAGATTTATTATAAAATAATATATTTAATCCATCTCATTTACATTTTGGGCAGAGAGCATGGAATCTGGTAAAGAAGGAGCAAAGAACAGTCGTGCAATTACATAATCACACAAATGCTAAGATGTACATATTTTCATCAGACATCCTGATAAAAGCAAATAATTGTGCATTAGCACAATTAAACCATTACATGAAATTTTATTTCAACATCTATAAATTTTGCTGCAGACACTGATGAAGGAAAAAACAAATGTGAAACACAGACATCCAGCCAAAGTCTATTTGTAGAACAATTCATAACCTAATGGCAAGCTTATTCAACTGCCTTACCCTGCCATTATTGCAAAAGAACTGGAAAAATATGAGTTCAACATTATATAAATAAAGGAATTTTACACAAGGGAATTTCCAGATTTCCTTGTGCAATTTCCCAGCCTTACTTAAAGAATTACCCAGCAAATACTGTGCTTGATAAACAAACTACCCACCCTTTGTATAATATTTTATATACTTTAGTTTTTCTTTCTTTCTATTAAAAAATACAAAATACAGAGAATGTTGTTGACCATTTTGAAGCATCCCATATTTGACAAACACAGATTAATCTACAGAGGTGCTTTTGCATAATTGGGCTAGACATTTCCTGTGAGATTGCATTTTAAAGTTACAGATATTCTTAATTTTAAAACTGACTTCAAGATTGGAATTGCGAAAAGAAAAGAAAAATAATTCAACACAGACAGTTTTGGCTTGTTTTCCAGATAGTCCATTTCCACCTCTTCCTTGTTTTTTCACCATTGTCAACATCGAATTAGCAGGTTGTAACCAATCAGAATCCAGTAAGATTTTTTTCAATGTTCCTATGGGTTTATTTTGTTTTATTTTTAAGTTTGAGTCTTTCCAAGTATGCTATATGTGTACAATAGCACTTTGTTTATATAAATGTTCACATTCAGAAATGAATTTGCTGTTAGCATAAATTATTTCTCATGTGATTCAGTGGCAATTCTTTGATAAAACAGATGTACATGCCCCGCAGCAGTCTTTGGGAATTATTTACTGAGATAATTGACCAAAATGGCACTAATTTCAGATACCTTCATGATCTATGTCCTTCCCAGGAGCACAGCACAAATTACCTTACATTGATTGTACTGGTAAGACTGTGGGAATGAGCAGCTGAAGGCACAGCTTGCCCCTTGCTTTCCACAAAGTGCTAAATGGCTATGTTTTTATGAAAAGTCTGTTACAAAGCTACATTGTCTGAAGAGGAATCTAATAGAGAAATACTAAATACTTCCACAGCTACAGTATAGCTTTCCAAATGGCTCAAATAGGATAGATACAAGAGAGCCTTAGATAAAAATCTCTCTTCCTTGACCATCTTTATCAAGCTTAAGAAAATTAAATAGAACACTCATTGGACAATCAAAGAGGAACTAAAGCTTATTAAATTTTCCTCTTTCTTTTTCTTAGGATCAGTAGCTTTTCATCTTGGAGTTTTGATTAACTTGTCCCTTTTTCCTGTACAGTGTCTTTAACCTTCAATATTTCTATTAAAAAGTTGCCCAGGATCATGGTTTTCAAATACACTAAAATACTGGATTTAGAATTTATTTTACTCCATTCTATTTTTTTAGTGCAAAATGCAGGTTAGCAAAAATGGAAATTGCCTTTTGTATTATTAAAGGGTTCTAAGGGCTCCCTTTGACATTATGTATGAGTAGCAAATTAAATAAACATGGAGCCTTTGTCACATTTGAAAGGTCAAACATAATACTGACATATGGAAGTGCAGCACAACTGAGCTAGTAACAAAAATGCTGGACATTAACAAGGGCTATCCGGGATTGAAGTAAGGCCTGTCTAGTCCAGCATTTCTTTCCATGAGTGACCAAGGGAAGTGCATAAATAGAACAGGGCAAGCCTTACCATTACATAAATAGCCATCTCAGATAACAGATGCTGGATGTCAAAAGCAAAATGTTGGAGGGGACAGCAAGGTGTATTGAATGCTTTTAGTTAGATTTTGCAGCATGCTAATGCTTATGAGAGGGATGGGGTAGCTCAGTGGCTAAGACGCTGAGCTTGTCGATCAGAAAGGTTGGCAGTTCAAATCCCTAGCCCATGTAATGGAGTGAGCTCCTGTTACTTGTCCCAGCTTCTGCTAACTTAGCAGTTTGAAAGCACATAAGAAAGGCAAGTAAAAAAATAGGGACCACCTTTGGTGGGAAGGTAACAGCCTTCCATGTGCCTTTGGCATTTAGTCATGCCGGCCACATGACTATAGAGACGTCTTCAGAAAGTTCTGGCTCTTCGGCTTTGAAATGCAGATGAGCACTGTTCCCTAGAGTCAGGAATAAGTAGTACATATGTGCGAAGAGAACCTTTACTTTTACCTCAATGCTTATGGGAAGTGTTGAAGCAAAATTAGTTCTCAGCCCAACTGTTTTTGAACAAGAAAAGGGAGGGACATCATATTGTTATCTTTCAGATCCCCTTTTGCTATTCTAATAAGGACATAAACTTAATAGGCTGCCCTTTGTTACTGTTAATACTTAGAATCACATCAAGAACTTCATCATCTACTGATGTATTTAATCGTCTTTTCAAATATGCCAAAATGGTTATCATTCATTTATCTTTTGGTGAGGAATTCTACCATCTGACTTTTTTTCTTTTTTATATTCAAATATTTTATTTCATCATTCATATTTCCTACACACAATTTAGCTGCATAACTCAAATTTTCCTTTAAAGGGAAAAGGCAGGCAGAGATGAGAAACTCTTTGCTCTACATACCTTTTCTTCCTAGTTGTTTTTTATTAGCAAAAAGTTTCAAACATTTTACTTTTCCATAAAGGAAATTCTTTCCTGTTTTTTTTTTTTTTNAATTTATAATTTCATGGAAACAAAACAGCAACACATTTGACATTTTCTTTCTAAGCTTACTGCTGCTATTGCTATAATTGGGATTTCAGCTTTAGAAAAATATGGAGCTTCATATCCACATTTTCATATCCAAAATGTTATGTATACAAATCGGAAAAGATATGATTTGTCAAAGCCTGCTTACGTATAGGCATCCTAAGCATATGTACCCATTTATATCATTATTAATATTCTTCTTTTAATCTTTTGCCTTTTATGCTGCAAAATGATGGGTGAAAAACTGTTGAAATACTATGTTTTTCCCTATTCAACCATATGGTACTGTTTAATTCACTAGCCATTTGAAACTGTAAGTTACAATAGCTGTTATATTCATATCATTCAATTGCACAGCATGACAAATCATTGCTTAGTGATTTTCCATTGACCACAGGAACTTTTTCTGTGGGAAAATAACAACATTGTGCTGACTACTGACAGGATAGCTCCATCTGTGGCTTTCAAAGTACCTGATTGTGATAGTTTTAGCTGAATTTGAAGAGTATGCTGAGTTTCTTAAATCTTTGGATAGAAACGGCATATCCT